ACTCCCGATCAACAATCAAATATCTTTTCTTGAATTATGAATAACACGAATGAATTGAAATATTTAATTAAATTATCTCAAAATAAACTTTCATTTCGGTGCAGTATTGAAATTAGCATGAATTCTTCATAACCTCTGAATAGTGGTTGACCCAACGGGTCACAGTGGTCTAGTAAAACAATAAAATTTGAAGAATTACAGAAGCTTCTGACGAGAAGTAACCGTTCTTAGAACAAACAATTTTGGAGACAATTACAGGGGAAAACTAACCAAATAATTTTTTTGCTACTGCTCTGTATCTATTTATTTCAATTTTTTAAAGGTTTATAGGAGCTAAGTTTGTATATTTTTTTTTATTGTTTGCATTGTGTTGTTTATGTGTTGTTAATGTGTATACATTGGTGATAATTGTACCACTTCAGCAACAAGTAGTGGTCAGAATTTCCTAGTAAATAATAATATTGGAGAAAATTTATTAAGTGGTAAAAAAAATTGGCATAGTTAAATATTTTGAAGCTCATTTGAACCACCAAGCTTTGGAGACTCACTAGTAAAATATATTTACAGAACTCGGTGTCACGTACAAAAGATGATCATCGTAATGTTAGTGTAATGGGTGTTTGTGGCATTTTCATTTATCTCTTCACTGCTGAGGTAAAACCTGGCAAAACTGGATCAGTTGATTGAAGCACTTTGACGGTACATAAAACACGATTGATCATCGTAGTGTTTTTAAATAGGGTTATTATATTTTTTTACATGTTAAGTTTATGTATATAGTACATGTACATTCTCTTTTGGAAAGCCCCCCTCGTTGTTTCAGGGCCTATAACACTAAAATTCCCTACTGTGGACACGGTACGGATAACCCGTTGTGCAGCTTTGTTCATCTGAAGTGGTTATTTTGATATATATACCTAAACATTTCAAATAAAGAAATGTAGATAGGTCAAACCTTATCTATAAGAAATCTCCCTAATTTGTCTTAACAAAAATATTATGTAATAAAAAAAATATCATTTTATAAAATTTTAAACAATGTATGTATCTGCTCCTCAAAATATCTAGTTTAACTACTAAAACTCTTTATAAATCTCCTGTTAAAATCTTGTAATAAATCTAAATGGTGAGGGGACATTCAAAGGGTTTGCTGAGTAATGAAACCTCCTATTAAAATCTTGTAATAAATCTAAATGGTGAGGGTACATTTGAAGGATTTACTGAGTAATGAAATCCCTCTATAAACCTCCTATTAAAATCTTGTAATAAATCTAAATGGTGAGGGTACATTCGAAGGGTTTACTGAGTAATGAAACCCCTCTATAAAGCTCCTGTTAAAATCTTGTAATAAATCCAAATGGTGAGGGGACATTCAAAGGGTTTGCTGAGTAATGAAACCCCTCGATAAAGCTCCTGTTAAAATCTTGTAATAACTCTAAATGGTGAGGGTACATTTGAAGGGTTTGCTGAGTAATGAAACCTCTGTAAAGCTCTAATTAATATTTGTAATAACTAAATGGTGAGGATACATTACCAAGAGTTCACTAAGTGAAGGTTAATAATCTTTATTTTTTTTGCTATTATGGCTTCACTTAAGAGATTTGTAAAAATAAGCTGTTTAGAAGAATAAAATATTAATTTCTTTCTACAAATAAATGACAAGTGGCAAGTTTAGACAAAATATTGTGTATTGAATCTGCATTACCACAAAGTACAGTAATTATGAGAATCTGCTCGACTGTTTTACTACCACATCACTTGTCTGAGTATCAGTGATAACAGCTCATCCAGTTTTGAAGACAGATCTGGTTGCATCCCTCAATTATGTCTATCATATCCCTACTGGCTTGATGAGACCTGGTATTGGCCTTAAGGCCTTGATGGCACTGGATCTTGCACATGTAGTTGATTGACACATTATAAGATGTTCTTCTTTGTTTTCACTCATGGGTTTGTAGAAGTAATAACTACATATAATGTAATTGATTGTTAAAATAAAATTAATGCATGGGTTTGTAGAAGTAATAACTACATATTATGTCATTGATTGTTAAAATAAAATTAATACATGGGTTTGTAGAAGTAATAACTACATATTATGTCATTGATTGTTAAAATAAAATTAATACATGGGTTTGTAGAAGTAATAACTACATATTATATCATTGATTGTTAAAATAAAATCAATACATGGGTTTGTAGAAGTAATAACTACATATTATGTCATTGATTGTTAAAATAAAATTAATACATGGGTTTGTAGAAGGAATAACGACATGTTGTTTCACTGAATGTTAAAATAAAATTAATGCAGGTTGTATCTTAACCTCATCATTCCACACACACCGGGTTGTTTTTGACTTTTGAAAATAAAATTACCATGTGATCATAAAAAAAATTAATTTTGTTTTTGTTGAAGTTAAGGAAAGTTATGACACATTGTTTTTAAGAAATTATTTAAAACTTACTGTTGAACATGTACGAGTGTTGGTGAAATTCATAAATAACACACTGAAACATATTTAAAATAACTGTCAAGGTGTAACCATTTCTAATGAGTATTTATGAGGTAAGTTGAACAAGAAGTAACAGCTTTAGGGAAAGTTTTTGTCTTGCCTAGAGTATTTAATACTGGGATGGAAGCGTAGTATACGAGTGAAGGAGTATAAAAATGTCAATAAACATAATATTAAATTCTATTACACAAATTCATAGAATAGACTAACTTTCAGTTGGGGGGGATGTCACAAAACACGTAATAAAAATATTTTATAAATGTAAAATGATGTAGGGATTTTTGTTGGGTTTTATTTATTCATCCTTGCCTTTCTTCTATACTTTTTTGGCATTGCCATCCCTACATCATGCTTGATTTTTGCAAAATATTTTTTTATTACTTGTAAAAATATATTGTTACTGTTTGGCAGGTTTCTGTCTTAAAATCTATTTTTTTTTTCTGTGATTTGTGAAAGTGATACTTAGTTTCAGATTTCCCTTTCTTACATAATATAGAAATTCTGAAATACTAAAAAAATCTACATGTCCGTACGTTATATTATCTAATTAATAATTAAAATTATTAATAATTTTAATTATTCCTAAAAGAGATGCAATAGTTCAAGTTTTTGTTGATATTAAAAAAGACTTAACAAAATTAACTATTAACACACTTGATGTTAGCCATTAAAAAGTATTAACACACTTGATTTTAGCCATTAAAAACTATTAACACACTCGATGTTAGCCATTAAAAAGTATTAACACACTCGATGTTAGCCATTAAAAAGTATTAACACACTTGATGTTAGCCATTAAAAACTATTAACACACTCGATGTTAGCCATTAAAAAGTATTAACACACTCGATGTTAGCCATTAAAAACTATTAATACACTTGATGTTAGCCATTAAAAACTATTAACAAAATGTTAATGTTTAATATTAACACACTTGATGTTAGCCATTAAAAACTATTAACAAAATGTTCATGTTAATATTAACACACTTCATTTGTAGGAATAGACCATGTTTGTGTTGTGTGTTCATGTTTAATATTAACACACTTGATTTCTAGTAGACCATATTTGTATGTTTTTAATGTTAGATTTGAACTTTTTTATACCAGAAAAGGCTTCATCATCTTTAAAACAGATAAAAAGTACTTGAAGTATGAAATATAACTGAAAATTTAGTCACATGTTTTAACATCACATCGAACATCACGCGACAGTGATTGAAGGAAGTGAGAAACTTGGCTGATAGTATACTTAATACCTAGAATTTTATTGTTGTTTTTTGTCTTCTTTTTTTTTTTTTCTTGAAAACCACATTGTTTACTTATATTGATTTTTTTAATGGAAAGAAGACAGTAACCAATTGTAGGGTAGAATTTTTGTAGCCTGTTGTATTGGAGAAAGTCTGACATTATAATATATGTTTACACAGTCTTCGGACTGTGCCCAGACCACTCTCAAGATGGAATTTGATGATTACGAGATCTTACCTTCCAATAATGCAGCGATTCACATGATGGCAGGAGCTGCAGCTGGAATTATGGAGCACTGCATTATTTATCCATTAGACTCGGTGAAGGTATGATACACTTGTTCATATTATATTACTCCATAAAGGAGTCTACTTACATTTATTTTACATTGAATTTTTTTTTCTAACTTATATTTTTTCAGATTTCACGTTATTTTCTTCTCGTACTTTCTACGTGTAGATCTTGTTTTGAATTCTTTATGTCATGTTTTTGTTTATTCTATCTTTCATTCTAGACCCTGATAATGTAAAAGCTTCAATATATTGTGTATTCTAAGGACCTCATTAATGTGCTTATATTTACTGCAAGGTAATGCACATTGCCATATTTCTAGGTCCTGCCCTGAGTGTGGGTGGTTTGTTTCAAGTCATGTTTGTGTTTCATTAACTGTCTGTTTTTCATTTGTTACAATAATTGGCTTGGATGTCATTAACCTTACAAGAATGTGTTAAGGTGACACTGTGTCACTACAAGAATGTGTTAAGGTGATACTGTGTCACTACAAGAATGTATTGAGGTGACACTGTGTCACTACAAGAATGTGTTAAGGTGACACTCTATCACTACAATAATGTATTAAGGTGACACTGTGTCACTACAATAATGTATTAAGGTGACACTGTGTCACTACAATAATGTGGTAAGGTGACACTGTGTCACTACAAGAATGTGTTAAGGTGATACTGTGTCACTACAAGAATGTGTTAAGGTGATACTGTGTCACTACAAGAATGTGTTACGGTGATACTGTGTCACTACAAGAATGTGTTGAGGTGACACTGTGTCACTACAAGAATGTGTTCAGGCGACACTGTGTCACTACAAAGAATGTATTAAGGTGACACTGTGTCACTACAAGAATGTGTTAAGGTGATACTGTGTCACTACAAGAAAGTATTGAGGTGACACTGTGTCACTACAAGAATGTGGTAAGGTGATACTGTGTCACTACAAGAATGTGTTGAGGTGACACTGTGTCACTACAAGAATGTGTTCAGGCGACACTGTGTCACTACAAAGAATGTATTAAGGTGACACTGTGTCACTACAAGAATGTGTTAAGGTGATACTGTGTCACTACAAGAAAGTATTGAGGTGACACTGTGTCACTACAAGAAAGTATTGAGGTGACACTGTGTCACCACAAGAATG